CCCCCCACCGGCACCCCCCCACACGGGCACCCACACCTGTGCACCCACTGGCACCAGCACCCACCCCTGGCACCCACACCTGCACCCACCACACCGGCTGCCTGTGCCCCCCACTCTACCCCTGGAGCCCTTCAGCCATGCCTGGGGGGCACAGCTTCCCCCCCCCCCATCCCTTTGGGTTCTGGGATAAAAAGGACGGGGACGGTGCGCAGGAGATGGGCTCCAGGAGGGATGTGTTTCCTCTGGGGTGGTCTCTCCAGCCGCGCTACCGCGTCACCCACCAAGCGCTGACCCCCATAGGGGATTTACAGGTGGGCTGGAGAGAGGTTTGATGGTTGTAGATAGGGCACAGCCCCCCCCCCCCCGCAGCCTGCTGACACCGCTCCAGCCTGGCTTCATTATCGGAGGAAATAACAACTGCACACGGCTGGGAGCGGAGAATGCCCCCTCCAAAGTTTACAGCTGGCTGCGGCTGAAACCAGCTAAATGGACCATGGAGACTTGGGGAAAATCATTTAAGGAAGGGGAAAAAAATAAACCAGCCAGTTCCCCGTGTTGCTAAATATAGAGCGAGCTCTGTCAGTTTTAATAGGATGGTCATAATTGCTCCTGCCGCTTTGCCAGGCTGAGTGTGGCCTAATTGCTCGCCCATAACAATCACAAGTGTTAATACGGGGCAGTCGCGGGTTAGCGGTGCCTCGAAGCCAGGACTGCGCTGCAGCCACCAGGAAATTGTCCCGGCGCAGGCGATTAGAGGTGTTAATAGGCTGGCTTAAGGGGCCCAGGAGCAGCACCGCAAGCAGCCCAGGCATTTTTCCCTTCCTGCTGCTTGGAACAACTGTGCTGAATAGGAGCCGAACTGGATCCACAAAAACTGGATCCTATTTAGGCCAGCCTGACCATTTTCCAGCTGAGGGCTAAAGGCAGAAGCCATCATGGGGGCTTAAGTCACCTGGTGCTTCTTCAAGCTGACATCCACTCGAGCCTTCGCCAGACCGGAGCCTTTGCGGTGTAGAATAGGACAGAGGAGGCTTAGTTATTTCCAAGCGCAGGGTTTCCCTGCGGTAGGAAGGAAGAGGAGAACCTTGCCAGCATCTCTGTATAGCCAGAAGGTTGCGGAGAGGCTGGACTGTAGCTCCAGCACTGACCTGTGCGGATTCCCCTCTTGCCGAGGGTCTCTGGGCAGCTCTGCCCTCCCTCCCGTGCCCTCCCTGCCTGTGCTGCCGCTGCTTCCCAGCCCCTGGGGTTTCCTGTGCTGCCGAGCAGCTGCCTGGAGCGCCCGGGCGTGCTCAGGAAATGCTGGATGAAAGCAAGATACGCTGACCGCTGGGGCCCCTTCCCTCCACCCCCAGGCCCCGAAGAGCCGTTGCCACTGCTCTCCTCGCCCTCGCGTCGGAGGTGACGGAGCAGTGCTGCAGAAGGCGATGGAAAGAAACAACACGTTGCTGGGTGCCTTGAATTTCCCATCCTTGGAGACCCAGGGTTGTGCATCCCACTGTTAAGAGGTTTAAACGCTGCAGAGAACCTCCCAGGAGGGACGAACATCCGCGTAGCAACATCCTCTCCGGTGTAAGGCTGCGCTGCTGCTCCATGGGGCAGGGCCGGGGACGAGGTGCTGCGCTGGGAGGGAGGGCTGGGGAGCGGAGGCTGCTGCCTACCTGGCTGGAAAGGTCACACAGCAGCTGCTGTTTTTGGTGCTGGTAGGAACATCGCTCTCCCAAACGTCCCTGCAGCCTGAGAGGCAGCTCGTGTCAGCCTGCCCTTCGGGCAGCACTGGGAATTCATCAGCAGTCATCGCTGGTGGCAGAAATGAGGATGAGAAGCTTCTGCGAGCGGTTGCGCTCAGATGGTGGCTTGCTCCAGGCTCTGCTCCAGGAGCCCAAGCGTTGTGCTCTGCTTTGCAGGCACGTTTCCCAGGGCTCGGCTGCGGACCACGGCAGTCACAGCACCTGAGCTGGTCGAACTGGAGATGAGAGCATGTTGCAAACCGCTTGGCATTGGTGAGAGCTTGGATTTGCAGCTGCTCGGCTGTAACTCGAAGCACTGCAGCTCTCCTGCAGAACTGGAAATGTCAGTCTCTGGCTGGGAGCACTGGTCTGCCCCTCCTGCCGGGCCAGCCGGCACAGGGCTAGCAGTTCCAGCACGCTCCCGCTGAGCATCTCCGCACACAGCCAGCACAGAGACAAGCCTCTAGTTATTAGCTGGAGCCAACGTGGCAATGGAAACAGATCCGGGCACCAGGGCAGCAAGAGCTGCCTTCCTAGTGGGTCAAAGTTAGCTACCCTTAATCAGATCTGCAGGCACCTTCCCCTCCCCAAAGAGCAGCGAAGCAGATGTACAGCCCCGTCCCCCTGTCCCCAGCAGTGTGACCAGTGGTCCTGAGCCCCCCATGGGAAAGCAAGTCGAGGCATGGATAGCCCACACAGCACAATGTTTGAAAAGACCCTGATTTGCCTATAGGTAGGTGCTGTGGCACTAAGCTGGGAGGGCATTTCACTCTTGTGAAACAGGGAAGGACATAAATGCAGTGGTGGATCCCAGCAGAGGAACACTTGTCCAGTTCTCTTAATAGAAGTGTCCAATCTCTCCCCTCTGCAAGAATAAGCATCCACTCAGTGTCCTGTTGCTCTAAGATTGTTTAATATTAAATTCACGGAGAGGGGTAGGGTTAGCACCAGCTAAAACTACCACTAAACACAGCCAGATTATTTTTCTCCCATCCAAAGGATAACACAAACTGTAACAGATCATCCCTCCTCAGTCTGTCTGCAACCTGCAAGCACCTCCACACCAGCAGCAATTCACTGCATGCCAGTTGTACTATTGCACATCACCCTAGAAGTCCCTGGAGGTGCAGCTCCGGACACAGGATCCCGCTTTGATTTCCAGACTGAACACGCTCACTAGAAGATGCGTTTAAGGCTCAGTTCTCCCCAGCAGCAGAGACTCTCGGGAAGCAGAGCGGGGGTTTTCGAGTGGGAGAAGGTGAGGTTTTGCAGTTGCTTCAGTACAGAGAGGAGGTGGCTGAGCTGTAAGGAAACGCTGTTCTCGTTTGCACTTCAAATCATTTCTTCTCGGTGGTACTCTTGCCTCCAGGCTGGTTCCCCCATCCCTCTCCACGGCCCCTGCCGGCCGTCAGCGGGCTGTGGCAAAGCCAATGCGGTTGTTGCGCCGGTCGAATTTGGTGTAGTAGTGTCCGATGAAGCTGGCGCCCAGGATCCAGAGGGGACCAGCTGGAGGTGGGATGTCCAGCCCCGAGAAAGCCACCACACAGATGTCCTCCCCATACTGGGATTGCTGCAAAGAGGAGACCCACGCCGTGATGGAGGTGCCAGGAGGGAGATACCTACTCCAGCGTGCCTGAGGAAGGGCTGTGATCCCCAGCAAAATACCCTCTGCTTGGCCTCCACGTTCCTTCCTCCAGGAAGGAGGATCCCTGCCTGTCTCTGCTCTTTTCTGCTAACCCCAAATCTCCCCGAAACCACCCAAGGAAGCAGCGACAGGTTGGTCTGGCTCATCTGGACACCTCTGCCGAACAGGAGGGTTTGGGGAAGAATAAGAAGCATCACTCTGGGGCTCATCTCAGCTGCTTTAGGGGAGCCAAGGAGGGTGCGCGATGCTGCAGAAGAGCCGCACCCCGAGATGCACTGCTCTCCCCAGCAGATACACCCAGCCTGAGGAGAGCCGCCCTCCCGCCCCGCACGGAGGGATGCAGCTTACCCGGAGGACATAGGCTGAGCCGCTGAGTGTGTATGCCTTCCCACCCAGGTGGAAGGAGATGTTGGGCAGCTGAGGGACTTGGTCACAGTCCACCACATACTGTGGGAGGAGGAGGAGGCAGCGCTGATCTCATTTGCTGGGGCAGGGATGGGCTGGGGTACAGGCAGCCAAAGGGGCAGGTGGCAGGGACATGGAGTGGGACAAGGGTTTGCTCACCTCTCCTTCGGCCATTTCTGCTGCCCCGATGGCTTTCATCAGCACGGAGATGGGGCCAGCTGGGCCGGTGATGTAGGATGCTCCTGTGTCGATGGCCACAGAACAGCCTTCCTTGCAGAACAGGATTTCAGCCCCTATGGACACCCTGGTGTGGGAGGGGAGAGGGGTGACCCTGAGTCTCCCATGGTGACCACGGCTCGGCTCCCAGGGCCAATGTGTGCCCACGCGTGAGTGTGCCACGTGTTTGTCCAGGGAACGCTGGCCAGGCAGAGCACGTGCTTCTCCCGGTGCCTCCAGAGAACAGACTCTCCAGGGGCACTGGGAACCCTCCCTTCAAGCCTCTCGAATGTGAAAGCTAATCTTCATTATGTGTGGTTTGGTTTTTTTTAAATTAAACAAAGCAGAATTGTTTCAGTGCCTTACACTCCTGCAGGGCTAAAGGGGGTTAAACTCTTCCACTGCAGCTTCCAAGTTGAATCAGCCCACGGTGCCACCCCCTCTGCATTCCCCGGCTCAGCTCCTGGCTCCTTGCTGAGCACAGAGATGTAACTGTGCTGGAGGAACCAACCCCGCTCCCCTCCAGAGGGGAAAGCATCCACCAGTGACACCGAGTGAACACATGTCTCTGTGGACCACCTTCCCCAGCAAGCTTTTCCCAGGCCCACCCTTGCACACCCAGGCAGGTTTGCAGGATGCAGCCCGGTGCTGTGCAGAAGCACTCCCTGGCCTCACCCCTTCATGCTGATCTGCCAGTAGCCGCTCTTGCTGACGTTCAGGTAGTGGAAGTCACCGGTGTAGTAGGCTGGGTCGCTGCCTCCGAGGATTATTTCCCCCCCGGGTTTCAGGAGAGCATTCCTAGGGTGCAAAACACAGCGGAGTGATTCCCCCTCGGCTGCTGTCCCTAAAAAAACGTCGAGAAGGCACCAGCCCCGGCCGTAAGGCTCTGCTGACCCGGTTAGCCGCAGCAGAGAGCAAGATGGAGCAGAAGAAACCCCAAGTTAGTTCAGAGGGGTGCAAGAGCCCGCAGGAGAGGAGATGCCACATGCTGAGGTCTCCGAGCAGGTTGGTGCTGGCTCCTGTGCAGGGCAGGCATGTGGGCAGAGCCCAGTGCGGGGCTGCTGGTGTGTGAGCTCCTACGGACCAGTGCCTGGCTGCCAGCACTGGGCAGGGCTCGCCTGGGGCTCGTAGCACGAGTGGGGTCTGCTGCCCGGCCCCAGGGTGCACGGGTGACTGTTAGTGGGTTCTGCCTGGAGAGCGCTCGTGCTTTTTGTCTTCTTACTTTGAAGCTCTGCAAAGAGAGGGATGCTCCATGAGCCTGTGGTCCGAGGGCAGCTGTGTCCCCGGGGTGCCAAGGGGAACTAAGCAGCACCCAGATGAGGCTGCAGTTGCAGCCAGCATCATTAGGCTTTGTTCGTTATTGATGGATCCACCTTTAGTTGAGGTAAAGAGTTACCATGCCTGCTTTAAGCATGTGGGTTTGGGTCTGTTTGTCACTGCACATTGCCAGGGTGCTGTACCTGGGGCCAGTGGGGAGTGCTGGGGAGGGGAGGGCAGCATTCCTGCTCTGCCAGGACAGGCTCTCCCGCTGCTTCTGCGGGTTTTGGTGCTGCTGGGAGGAGGGATGCTGGGGCACAACAGTTTGGGGCAAGAAATTAAAGGAGGTTTGGCTGCTGGTGCAGGTTTTTCTTCAATAGATTTTTGGGGGTTTTTAATTTTGCCTGTAGATGAAACACTACATCCACTCCCAGCTGTGATTGCCCCAGCTCCACTGGCAGAGCTAGTGACTTTGTGCAATCCGACAGTGACAAACGAGCAGGGAGCAGCCACTCCCAGCCTCAGCACTCCCTGCCCAGCAGCTCCAGATAAGCATCCACCTGGCTCTGCCTCTTGTGCTGCCTCATTCCACTCCAGCTCCTCCAGGCATCCTCCACATGTCCGTGCCCTCCACCCCACCCCAGGTCCTACAGCCCCAGCCATGGATCTTTCCCAATCCCAAGACACAAACCCAGTACTGCCGTGGTTGCAATATCCACGCCCTGCAAACCAAACACCTCCCCAGCCCCGAAGCCTGGTCCCTACAAGACCCACCGGCTGTAGTAGACGGAAAACACGTCCTCCTTGAGGATCTGCTGGGAGAGGATCCGGTCGAAGACGGGGGTGATGCCATCGATGGCCTGGCTGGGGTAGCCCATCCCCAGCACCCCATCAAACCTGGCAAAGATGAAGGGGAAGGCAGGCAGCGCCGTTGCCTCGGCAAAGACCTGGATGATGGGGATGTCTGACACCTGGGGAAGGGCACAAGTGTCCTTGCAGGGAGCTGGGGGGCTAGATCCCCCCCCAAATCCTCCCTACTCTTGGGTGACTGGGGATGCTCATATAGAGGAGCAGAGCCACACACACACGAGCATCTCCTTGCTGAGCCAGCAGCTCCAGGTCTGCAAATTCAGGGCACGCACTCACCATAACGATGTCCTGGCTGAGGAAGCCTTTGACGCTCCCTGTCCCGTAGCGGATAGCAAAGCCTGTGCCGTTGGCTATGTACGTCCGTGACTTGGAGGAGTCGTAGCGGCTGTGGGAAACTGGGGAGAAGGAGAAGGTGCATCAAAGGAAGCGAGGAAGGCAGCGACGGCAGGACCGGCTGCGCGTCTCTGTTCCCCAGCCTCCGTGGGATGATGAACCCACCCTGCCCCAGTGCCAGGGGATGGGACAGTAGCAAACAGCCCCCCCCGTCCAAAGGTAAATCCACCCCAGTCTGCTTTGAACAGCCCTCGAGAAGGAGGGACTTGCCCACGTTTGCTGAGCTGAAGCTGGAGCTGAGGCTGGAGGGGGTCAGCCCTGACCCCAGGTCCGGCCGTGCCCCCGTACTCACCGCAGGCGCTGTAGAGGGGGGAGCACTTGTAGGATGGCACCCACAGGTTGGCCGAGCCCGTGTCGAAGACCACCTTGAAGGTCTGCGCGGGGGTACCGATGCTGATCTCGCCGAAATACTGGGTCTGGAAGAGGAATAGCACGGGGAGCATCACCGGGGGCACAGCTCAGACAGGAGACGGGGCTCATGCAGACCCGAGCCCCGACAGCAAACGCACCGTGGGGTGCAGCGGGTGCGACTTGCTGGGTGCTGGGGTGACAAACCCCCTCCGCAGGGAGACACTCACGTCCAGGTAGTTTGTGAGGAGAGTGGGAGCCGTCCCATTTCTGGGACCGACCGCGCCTCTGCGGCTACTGTGCTTGAGCTCAGGGAAGATGTCCGACACCTTCACTCCCATCTCCTGCAGCGTCTGGCGGATGGAGGGCATCCTCCGCAGGGCGATCCTGCCGGGATGGGGAGAGGGGGCGAAGGCAGGGCTGGGGGGAGCCGGGAGAGCACCCACCAGAAGGCCACCCACCCCCCCTCCCACCCCAGCACTCCTGCTTTTGGGAAATCCAGCCGGGTGGCTCTAGATGGCAGCAGCTCCCCGCGCCGTGGGGCTGCCAGGCGGGCTCCGGTGGGTCCCTCTCCCACGGCACCACCAGACCCACACCGGCCCTGGGGAGGGTGGGGGGGATGCACCACAGCCCACCCGGGACAGGGATCCCACGGGGGCTGCCTGCTGGAGGAGGTATCTATCGACACCGGGCAGCCACTCATGGGCTAAGCTCAGCCCCACGCTCGGCTCGTTCGTTGGCAAGCGAAGGGCTTCGTTTTGGCCTCCTCGTTTTTTTGGGAGACAGGGGTGCTGCTGACCATGTGGTGCTCAAGGAGGGGGGAGGAAGAGGAGCGAGGAAGAGCAGGCACGCCAGCGCAGAACAGAAAAGGAGGAGGAAGGGGGTTTCTCAGCACGGCTGCGGCAGGTACCGCAGGAGGAGAGTCCTTCGGTCCTCAGCACCAACCCAAGCACCCGAAACCAAGGGGAGACAGCAAGACCCACAACGTTGTGGGCCACCTGCAACACGCACGCCTGCTACCTCTGCAAAGCCTGGGCTGGCGAGGGGAAGAAGCTGGCACCCCAGGTGACGGCCAAGACCACCAGACACTGCTGCACCCTCCTGCTGTGTCCCGTCGGCATCTCGCTCTCCCAGGGCAGCTGCCTCCTTTGCCAGCAGCTTCGTTGCGTCCCTAAGGGGAGGATGCTTTTATAGCCTGGGTTTCTGCATCCGTGTGGGTTTCTCCTCCCCGCTGGCTGGGGGAGGGCTGGGGATCCCACAGGCAGCACTGTGGGCAGGTGGCTGGATGCTGGCCATGACAGTAGCTGCGGAGGGTGGCATGGCCAGGAGAGCCCCATGCCCAGCGGCAGGTGGGCACAGCTGACAAGCGTGGCTGGCAAGGGGAGGTGTGAATAGCTGGGAGCCACAGACCCACGCTCCTTGTGGTTAATAGCATTGCTACCTGTCAGCAGCCGGCCATCACTAACATGATGTGTGTAGGGCACGGGCCAAATGCTTGCTGGTGTCAGTCAGGAGAGCTGGTGGGTAATGCTGATGCCGGTGGTGGTGGCTCAGGTCTAGATGGCAGTCTGGCCAAGGAGATGTCCCGGAGCTCTCTGCTAGAAAGGAATGGGGTGTTCCGCAAAGGCCCAGGGCCAGGACCAGCAAAGGGCGCTCAGTTACAGCCCCTTCGGCCACGCAGACCCCAACCGCAAATTCGCCAGAACCCACTGCCCTTATGGTGGCTGCTCTGAGCGCAGTGAGGGGGAAGACACCAGCCCCCCCCCCCCCGGCCAAACCCCTCTCCTTGGCGAGGGAGGAGAGCCCAGGGCAGAGAACGGCTAAACTCATTGCAGTTGCTGCATATGATACAAGACCAAGGTACGAGCATCCACAGCCTGGCCAGGCACACTGCAGCGAGGAAGAGCAGTCTGTTCTCTGCCTTGTTCAAGCAGGGTGCAGAGGAGCCCAGCATGGCTCTGGATGCCTAAGCTGCTGTGCCCACTCTGCCCTGTGTTTTGGAAGGGGGATGCTGCTCAAAAACCCCAGCGTGGGCTGCAGAGGACTCCCTTGTATAAGGTGCATCACTGGTCCCCAGCTCACACGCGGCTGTGTTTCCGCAAGCAGTGCCCAGCCCAGGGTGGTGGGTGCCGGATCAGGCCCTGTGGCTCCAAGCCCAGGGCTTGAGCTCAGGGAACCTTGGTGGGAAATGACTGCAAAAGCAATAAAAATATTCTTGGAAGAACCTGATGACACAATTGCCCCTGCCTCGAAACCCCCAGCTATGCAACCACGCAGGCGTGCCTCCTGTTGCAGAAGGGATTTGTTTAGGGCACTGCTGTCACCCTTGTCCAGGGGACACCGGTGCTGGGAGGGGGGGAATGGAAAGAAGGACACCCCAGAAGCTACAGACAGCTTCTCCCCAGGACTGGGGCTTTACAGCCTCCTTTCCCTGGGGGATTTTGGCTGCAGTGTTTGGAGGCAGGGGAAGGCTGACCTCAGCAGGCACCGAGGCTCTGGCCCATGGGTCGCAGCCCCACTCCCCCCAGCCCTGACGTCTTTTCCCACGCCAAGCCCTGGTGCTGCGTCACTCGGGGGAGCCTCGTGCCCCAGCACAGGTTGCAGTGAGATGCAGAGGTCAGGAGGCAGCAGCCCAGCCAGAGAGTCACAGCGATGCGAGAGAGAGCTTGGCGGGCAGCCACCGGACATAAATCCCCTTCCCGGGCATCCCGCAGGCTCTGCCTGCTTTGCAGAGCCCAGTTCCCCAAAGGAGAGACCAGGGCTGTGGAGTGACTTCAAAGGAAAGGGGCCACATCAGCCGGGGCAAGGTGGTCCCAGGATGCAGGGCTGTGGGGCTCTGGTGTTTCCAGCTCCCCTTTGACCCATGGCCAAGGGGAGGCACGTCTGCAGGAGCCCTCAGGAGCATTGGATGCTCTGGGCATGGCTTTCCCCTAGGAAGGAGAGATGCACTCATCTCCCGTGGGGCAGCCGGAGCGGGATGCAGGTGGGAATGCTGAAGGGCTGCAGGTCCCCGGGGGAAAGGAAGCACCAGCTTGCTCTGGACCCAGAGGAAGACAGCCCTTCCCTGCCAAGGGCATGACACCACAGCCCCCTTGGAAGGGAAACCAAGGCATAAAGCACTTACCCAAACCCATCAGAGAACCGAGGGCTGTTGCCTTGCAGTGGCTGATGACCTGCCTCGCTGGCAGCACCAGGGCTCAAGGATGCCCCTCGGTGCAGGGCACCTTCCCCCGTGCCAGGAAAATCCCCACAAGGCTTTTTCCAGTCACGTCCACCAGCAGTGAGCAGGGATGAGCAGCTGGTGCATGGGAGCAGCGATGGAAAGACCTGACGCAGGGCTTAAAATAAGCTGCAAAGGGTGCATTTGTGCACAGGGTTGTAGGAACCAGAGGAGGGGGAAGGAGAATTGCTCCACTGGCTCGAAGGGCTGAAGCAGGAGCCCAAGGGCCAGGCTCTGCAGGGCAGCACGGGAAGGATGACCACAGGGATATCAGCCAGCTCTGGGACCACACTGATTTTCACCCCAGCCCTTCAGGAGACCCAGACCTGCAGGGAAGATTCTTTACTCTTCCCACGCAGCCTCAAAGCATCAGGCAGTTCTAACCAAAGCATCACTTAACCTGAATTTGCAAGGACTGAAGGTAACAGGCCATCAGGCAAGGCTGCAATCTCCCTGCTTGATTCGTGTACTGCTGTGGGAAACCTGCTGCAGTTTGCTGCAAAGGGCTGGAGTTTCCTACAATTACATATCCTATAAAGAGCAGCTCATCTGGAAATAACAGGGGAATGCTCTTAAGTTATTTCCCTGCCTGCTTTCAAGGAGTGAAATGATTGAGCTAAGAGTGAATTCAAGGAAAATACTTTCCAGAGAGAAACAAATGCTTTCCTGCAAGATAAATGTGTTCCTCTCTAGCATTGGGCTGAACAAGCATATTTCTTAAAATAAAATTTGAAAGATTAAGTATTTCCCTCTCTAAATGGAATCATCAGGAAGTTTTAGTTAATAGCCTTTTTTCCTGAGGGATCTTTTAAAACAGTAATAAAGGTAGATGCATTTCTGTCCTTCCCACACATTTTACACACTTTTCTAGTCCATGAGTTTGTTGCTAGTAAAAACAGATGAGGCTTGTGAGGATCCTTGTTCCAGATGACCAAGAAGCTCAAGCATAAAAGCAACTTTTGGGAAGGATTTGGAGGAGGCTCTGGATGGCACCAACACCAGGGGAATTCGGTCATTGACGTCAGCAGAGCCAGGGCTTCACCCAAAGTGTTTGCTTAAAACCAAAACTGCTCTGGCAGGGCACATTGAAATAGCAATTTACTGAACCAGAAGGAAAACATTCCCCTGCAATAAGCTTCAGACATGCAGGCTGGGGAGAGCAGCTCCAGCTTACTGCTGCCTGCTCCATCCCAGAGGCAGTTCACAGCCATTCCCTGGGTCACTTTGGAGCCTGATGGGAAGCATCCCTCACTGCCACTCAGGGATGATGCTCCATCCTGGCTCGATTTTCCCAGCAGGGTGAAGTGACAGCACCTGGGGCACATGCCCTGCTCATCCATGCTTGCTGCCCCAGGGACAAGGGCATTAAACAGTGGGAATCACTTTATCCTGCACATGATGTCTCTAGGACCATTTGTCTTTCTTCTGGTGAAGGCCTAAAGATGAAGCTTGACCAAGAAAAGTTGCTTTACAGCCCAGGTGTGAGTTTTCAGCTGGGGCGAAGCAAAGACAGGAATCACAAATAGGCTTTAGGGAGGCTGCAGCCCTCCCTTAGCTGCACAATCTCCAAGCCCATGCTTCCTCTCCCATCCCTCCTCCACAAGCAGCTGCTCAGCTCTTGCTCTGCTCCAAATCCCTCCGCTTTATCATCAAAGCCGGCCCTGATAGCAGCAGAACTGGACCCACCTTTACCTTCCTCCTGCCCACAGCCAAGCAGGTGCCAGGAAACTGCTAGCTCTTTTTTGCCTTCTCAAGACTCTTCTGCTGTAATCTGCACTCAACATAAAGGCACCCCCTCAAAACCAGCAGCAAGGGAGAGCTTCCCCTGAGCCAGACCTCCCAGGGATACAAAGCAACCCAGCTTTAGGGGGGCTGCCCTGATTTATACCCGCTGGGGAGCTCATCCTCTGTAACCCAGGGCTCAGCCTGCCTGCTGGGGCTGGGTTCTGGGTGCCCAAATGAGTTACCCCACATCAGCTGAGCAGCCAGAGCAGTTCCCAGCTCTGCTCTCACCTGCTGCAAACCCACTGCAAACCTGGGCACCGGTGCGGTACCTGCTAAGTGCCAACAGGCACAGCCACCAGCTCAATCAGGCTGTGCTTCAATCAAGAGGGAACAGGTTTAACTCAAACTCATTAATTAATTCTTGCAAGTTAAGAAGGGTATCTGCACAGGGACCAGCTTTGATGTGATTGCCTTGGTTTAATTAAACTCCTGCTTGCACCCAGCTTCCCAAGTGCTCATAGAAACCTGGCTCACATCCATTTAGCTTGTGTCTCTGATCACACAGATCCGCTGACTTATCCAACCAGTTCTCTGGCAGTACTGGCTGCGCTCCTGGGGAGAGGAGTTCCTGCAACCCGAAGCTCCTCTAAAATGATCTGACATTAAGGTAGGAGACCTCTGTGCTGTCCTGCCTGCCATGAAAGTCTCCCTGTGAGCAGCTGACCCCTCACATTGTGGGATGCTCGTTCCCCCAGAGCATCCAGCAGCGCAGGTCCTGCCTCGAGCAGGGTTTAAAAGCACCTGACGTACCTGGGCCTGAACAGTTCTTGAGGCCAAATCAGCTGCAGAGAGGACACAGAGGGGACGTGTTGGGTGATGTGATGGGACCCCCAGCAGCTGTCCCTGCAGAAACAGGCTGGAAAGCAGCAGCTTCCCATCGCCCTCCCAGAAAGCGTGCTGGGGCTGTGAGGATGTGTGGCAGATGAAAAGGTGCTTTGAATGCCAGTGGATGGGGCTGGATGCCTCTCTGGGGTGTAAGCCGTGGATCTCAGCAAGCTCCCCCGGAGCGGTGCAGACATCCGAGTCATGGGTAGGCAGCCAGCTGGCATTGGAGTGGGCATCAGGTGCTGGAGATGTTCCCCTGGCTCAAACCCCAGCAGAGCTGTCCTGGTGCCCACCACCACTGTAGCTCCCACCAGGCAGCAGCCAGTGGGTCCAGCTCTGCTCTGTCCCAGCCTCATCCCACAGGAAACAGGTCTATGGGAAATGCGAGTCCTGGCCCATAATGGTCAGAGATATCAGCACTGTAACTCTGGGGATTTGCTCCCGCTCCCCCTCCCACCCCAGCATCTCTCAATTAATTAATAACCCCAGATGTCATTTGCTTTTTCATGGTTGCTGAATTTGAATGGGGTAACTCCTCCGATCAGGTCATGAAATGTTAATGTGGTTTAATGGGTGTTTTCCTAACCTCCCCTGCCCTCTCCCGTGGCTCCCCGGGCTCTGCTTTCCGCAGGCCACATCCCCGCGGGACGCGTGGGAAGGCAGTGCCACGGCCACTGCCGGCGAGCCAGGGCTGCCCGAGCTGGCTGGGGCTCGGCCAGGGCAACTGAAGGCCATGGTGACCAGAAGGTCCCTGTGCCATCTCCAGCCATGGCCATGGGAAGGTCCCTCTGCCACCTCCAGCCATGGCCATCGTGCCTCTTGGTGACACTAAGAAGTACCAGAGCTGGAGCCAGCCCTGAGCCACAGAAAAGGAGCACAGTCTGAGTTCAGTCTCAGACGCACTTTTTAATTAAATCTTTCAACAGGGGAAGACAAAAAGAATAAAATAACGCTAATTCCAGAAGCCTGTCTGGCACAGCGTTTGGTCCCCAGAGCCTCGCTCAGGAGATGCTCGCGGTAGCCCCACGGGGCAGCGAGGCACCATCCCTGCAGCGGGGGTGGCTCTGGCCAGCGCCGAGGGTCCCGGGGCTGAGAAAGGTGGCAGCTCACCATGGGAAAGCCGGACCCAGGGCTTGCTCACACCATCCTGTCTCCAGCGATGCAGCCTGTCTCGCAGGTCACACCATGGAGCTGCTGTCTCCCACCTTCTGCAAGAGCTGCAACAGGGACAGATCCTGATTAGCAGGAAAATCCTCCACTGCATCCTCAGGGGGCTGCAGAGACACCACGGTGACCTTCCCTGCCTGGTCCCAGCCACAGCGATCGGGATTGATATCATCCAAGGACTGCAAACCCCAAGGGTCACATCAGCCCGTGTGAACCGCACCCAGCGCCCTGCTCACCTTGCTCAGCACAGGGATGTTTGCCAGCGAACCCAAAAACCCAAAAGCCACTGGGAAAAAACTCCTGTATCAAAACAAAAGTTTCTGTTAAGCCCTGTGCCAGGATTTTGCCAGGATGGGAGCAGCGGGGTTGCAGGGCACAAAGATCACCCAGCTCCCACTCTTCGGCTCAAGGCACCCACGCCATGCCGGGAGAGCCAGGAGCCGTGGGTCGGACCTGAAGAGAGTGATGAAGCCGTAAGCCTCCAGCAGCATGCCCAGGAGAGGCCACCGCATGAGGACGATGAGGACCCCCCCCATGAAGAAGCTGGTGCCCTTCAGCTTTGGCCATTGGAAGAAGAAAGTGAAGGTCCTCCTGAAGCCGATGATGAAGACCAAGCCGGAGAGGAAGAGGATCTGGGAGGATGAAGGAGAGCGGGTCAGAAAAGCCCTGCCCAGACGGACCCTTTGCTCCATCCTGGGCATCAGAGCCTGTTGCAGGGAGACCCAGCCCCACCGTACTCACATTCCCAAAGGCCAAGAGCACCGAGTCAAAATACAAGAGCATCCCAAAAAGGACGAAGAAGAGGCCAAAGCCAACCAGTCCCACGCCGATCCCTGCAAAGGACAGGAGGAGGGCTGAGACGGGGGCTCGGGCTCACGGCTCAGGTCCCACCTTGGGCTGCAGTTGCTCTCCTTGGCACCTCCCTGGCCTGTTCCCTCCCAGAAATATGCTTTGGCTTAGTCTCCAAAGCTTAGAAACAACCTTTCCACCTGCCCAAGCCCTGGAGAGACTGTCAGGTACCCCAGCAACTCTTCTGGGCTGCCAGATAAAGAATAAACCACGAAGAAAAAAATAAATGGGAAGGTCGTCTCCAGGATTTTTCTGAACACTGGCATGAAGGGTGTCGGTGCAGGCAGCCGGTGGGAGAGGCTGGCGATGCTCTCCGGAGGAGCCAGGCACCTCCTCAGTTGCTGTTCCCAACGCAGACCTGAGGCAGAGGGTGAGGGCAAACTCGGCTCTGCAGGACCCCAGTGCTGGTCCCCACACACAGCCCTGCCTGGTCCCCGCGTCCCAGCAGGGCTCCCACCGTGTCCCCCCGCCCCAGCACGGGGCTTGCCATTGCACCCTCTCCCTTCCCTGACGACCCCAGTGAGCAGCCTCCAGCCCTGCCTCGGGTGCTGCGGAGCATCCCCACGGCACGCCCCGGTCCCGCAGGGATGGGCATCGCTGTCGGGACGCGGCCACCCCAAATCTGCCCGCCCGCTTACGCTGGCAGTCGGTCAGAGGCACCATCTTGCCGGCGGCGGGGCTGGGTGAGGCTGGGCGAGGGGAGCCCTGCTTCCACATGCCTCCCCGGCAGTGACCCTTGGAAAGGCCTTTAGTCCCCACGTCATCCTGCAAATCATTAACGGCAGCGCCTGCTCCGCGGCGGCAGCACCTCCTTCGGGGGGGGACACACGTGGTGACCGGGCATCGCTGCAGGGTGACATATAGAGGGGCTGGTGGCTGCGGGTCCCTGCCTGGTCCTGCTTTCCCTGTCCCCAGCCTGCATGTCCTCCCCTGGAAGGGATGGCTTGGAGGAATCCCCAAAACAGGGGGATGCACGCGGCTGCGGTGTGCCTTGGGGTGTCCTGAGCGGTATTTGGGACACCCTGAGCCCCGCACGGTGCTGGATGCTGCACGCAGAGGTCCCCGCAGCATCGTCACCAGTGCATCGTGTGGGGCAGGGACGGTCCCTGCTCACAGCCAGGCTGCCCCGTGGGAGAGGGGAACTCTGGCAAGCCCTGGCCCCCAGGGTTCGCTGCCCAGTTCAGGGCCGATGGCTCAGCCAGACCTGCTCCCTGTGGCCAGTCCAGGGTCCCTGTGTGGCACGTGCCACCCCACGGAGACCTCTCCATCTATGTCCCGCAGGCGCCAGCTCCACACATTTACAGACCAGCTGCTTTTATTCCTCGCCTTTATACAAACTTGCCAAGTACAAATGCATTTTTTTTTATTCCTCCAAGAGAGCTGGCTATTGAGCAGCTACAGCTAAAATAAACCCCACTGGGAAAATGACCCCCCCCCAAAACAGGGAGGAGGAGGAGAAGGTGCTACCAGCCCTGGAGCAAGCTACGGGCAAGGCGAGAGCCTTCCTTGCTGGTTGAGATGCTATAGCCATTCACCCACCGTCTCGTCAGTCTAATATTAAAATTGTTATCTGAGTCACCTCTAGACAAAAGACACTGACACCTTGTTGTTTCTTAGATACTTTTATTTCTCTAACACTAGCAAAAAAACCCAGAAAACAAATGTCTCCCTTCCCACCCTCCCCAGTGCATAAATAGATTTCCTCCCAATGCAAATCCTTTCTCGGTTACAAGTCACTGGTATATGAAGTGTTATGAAAAATAATAACCAAAATAAAATTAAGAATTAAGTTTTTTTTTTTTTAAAAAAAAACAAACCAAAATAATGACCACCAGGTTCCACAATATGGCAGCCGTGGGGTCCCTGTGCACCAGGCTGTACTCACGCCTTGGGGAAGGCTCAGACTCGGCCACCACAGCACAGCTGAGCCGGAGTTCACCGGCAGCTCCGGGCACACCAGGGGCAGGAGCACTGGGATGCTCCTTATCCTCTCTGGTCCCCAGAAATGGGAGGAATTGCTGCCTATGGGTCTGCGTGCCCCCTCGGCTCCCCGCCAGGCAACACAGCCTCTGCATGGGCCACAGCCGTGCACCGCGGTCCCCGGCACGTCCCCGGCGGTGTCCCCACAGCCGGTGTAAGTGGGGTCTGCCCCGGTTACATGAGCTGGGGAGCCCACCCTGGCTGCCACGCCGCTGCACTCAGGAAAATACATGTATCATCTCTTAAAACTTACAGTCTCTTTATATTTTATTTTAAATAAATTTGCTTTTAATAAAAGCAGAAAAAATATATATATTTTAAATAGGTTTTTTTCTTTTTTTTTTCTGATAAATTGGCAAAGAATCTGCTTTTGTAACTCATTGGCAGGGCTGGTGCCAACAACCCTGCAGAGAGAGAGCTTAGCACAAAACAGTACCTCCCACAAAAGAAGAGAAAAACAAATATAGATATATATTATAAATGTGTAATTTCCATAAAACATATATTAAGGCATGTAATAGCAAAATAAAGGGCCAGCTTTATGAGCTAAGAGGGCTGCAGGAGGCTCGGGAGCGGAGCGGGACTCCTGGGATCCTACCAGTATTGCTAAGATGGGGTGCGCGGGGGGCGATGGGGATGCAGAGCGGGGAGTGCGGGGCAGGGGTCCTGGTGGGTGTCAGGATCAGGCCAGTAGGGAAATAGCTGCAGGATGGACGGTACCTAGCTCCTCACTCCATCCGCCTTGCCTGTCCCAGCCCTGTCGGGGCAGCCCTGCCAACCGCACAACCTCGTGTGGGATTCCGCTTTTCCAGGCAGAACCAGCTTTTTTTTTTCTCCCTCCAGAAAGCTAAAGAAAAGGGTAAACTTGCTACAGGAAAACCAAACAAACCGAAGGGTCTGGAGTGCAATGGTAAGGTCTTGGGGCGAGATGCGGTGCCAGATTTTCAGAGGGGCTGAGACAAGAGCCGACGGTGGGATGGGGGACAGCCGGGGTGCTGCTCCCCGTGCTGAGGACGAGCCCCGGTGCCATCGCCTGGCCTCAAGCCCCTTCCCCTTCTCGTCACCGTCCCCATCCACCACAGAGGGATCCCGGCCAAGCCCGCAGCTTCGCCATCCCACCTCGAACCCCAGCTCCCTGCACCGCTCCTCTGCTCCCGTCCAACGTCCCCATCCTCTCCCAGACCTCCTGCTCCGTGCCAGCGGTGCACCGGTGTCCCAGGCAGCCCTTGTACCACCCTGACCCCCCAGCACAGCACTCCTCTGGGCACCGCTGTGTCATCCCCCCCCCCAGTCCCACCTCCATCCATCCTGTCCCCAACAAAACTCCTTCTTCCTCCTGCTGAGCCACCAGCGCCAGCAGCGATGAGACAGGCCAGGCTCTGCCAGAGACCACCCCCAGTCAGATGGATGCTAAAAGCAGCTTCAGGGCACAGGGAGGGGGAAGAGGTACCCGAGGAGCAGAGATGGAGCATCCAGGTCCAGTGTAAGGTGGAAGCACCATCCAAGGTGGGTACTGGCCAGTCTCCACCCAGAAGAGCCCCTTCGCAGACCTTTGGGAGACCAACGCATCAGCATGGGGAGCCCAGGGAGTCCTACGCTCCTCCAGGGTTGTCCCGGTAGGGAGACGGCTGCTGTGCCGGCGGCTGCTGCTGCAGATGCCCCTGCCCGGCCGTCCACATAAGCCTGACACCCAGGACACCACGAATCTGTCCCCGTGCCAGCTGGCAGCCTGGGGGGCTCCTTGGGGGACCACGCTCCAGCGGACAACCTCCCAGCACCCACACGTCTCCTCCGGGACGGGGCAGAGCAGCTGGTGGTGTCGGCGACGCATCTCCCTGCTCGGCCGTGCCGGGTGGTCTCGCCGTCGGTGGGAGGGAAGGGGGTCCAGGAGAACCAAAAACGATGGCGAGAGGTTCAGTGTCGTGTCAGGGCGCTAAAACGTGGCCCCGTGGAACTTGATGTTGCCGGCAGCAGCCAAGGCTTGAGCTGGAGGGAGAGGAGAGCGGGGCTGAGCTATGCGTGGGGTGGCTGGCGATGGGGCAGCCCCTGCGCCCACCCCACAGACCCCTCTCCTGCCTTGCTCGGAGGAAAACCTAGCACAGATTTGGCTCCGTGCCCCCGGCTCCCTGGGGGGGACTTTCCAACTGAGCAGGGGGATGCTGCATCCCCCCCTGGTCTGCAGCCACCAATACAGACGTGCCAGGGCAGGCGTCCTCCAGAGCCTGGCCCCCAGATTACCCCCACCTTTTGCTCCCTGCTGAGCCCCCCCTGCCCACACTGTGGTCCCTGGCTGACCCAGCCCGGGGGCGGGGGGGCTTGGCCTTGGAGGACGCTTGTGCTTGGTCCATGGGAGCAGACGGGGCTGACGTGGCTCAGATGTTAGCTGGAGCAAGCAGCGATGGACGGACGCCAGGCACAGAAGAGGCACCCCCCGCCCGGCCCCCCCGGGATGGAGAGAGGATGGGATGAAGTACGAGAGAAGAGGTGCTTACTTCATGGCTCAGACACGCATAAAATGGCTGTTGTCGGCGACCCGGGATGTTTCAGACGAGAGGGGGTTGGTCGGTGGAGTCGGGGAGGCTGGGGAGGTGGGAGGGCTTGGGGTAGCGCATTGAGCTGGAAACAAGAAATGGGAGAAGGGAGTGAAGAACACAAGCTGCCGGCAGCGGCGAGGGGAAGGAGGCGACCCAGCGAGAGGTTAGCGGAGGGGAGGAAACGGAGAGGAAGGAAGGAGGGAAGCAAGCGCAGTCACGACAAACAGCCACAGCGGTGCCTGGCCGCGATGCGCACACGTGAGCTCCCCGCAGGGCTCCTCATGGACAAGGCACAGCATGCCACCACGCTCGCTCGGGCACGGCATGCCACCACCGTGCGCCACACGGCCCGGAGGTCCCATCCTGCAGCCTCGCGAACGTTTCCGAGAAGGTGCTGAAACCTGTGCCTGGCCGAAGTGGCTCTTCCATCGACGACGCTCAGCGCTGCCGCAGGGAAAGGCAGCCCCGGGCACCGCAGGCAGGACCCTGGCAGCTGCGGGCATCACCAGGCTGGTTCTCCCACTGCACGGGGATGCCCTACCCCAGGACCGATGCAGCCCGCTCTTCTACCCATATTGGCCCCTTGTTCTTGCTGCCTGTCCAGCCCATAAGCCAGTACTGCACCCAACCTGCCCGCTCGGTGCGTAATGCTACCTGCGGTCTGCTCTCCCGCGGGGCTGGCAGGCTCCGACCCTCCGTGTCCCCCTCCCCGTGCCTTACCCGAGAGCATGCGGCCCCGGCGGGAGGCCTCGGCAGCCAGCGCACACGAGATCTCTATCCTCTTCTCCTGCTCCTGAAGCTGGGTCTCAGGGTCCTGGGGGTTATCCACCTCCCCCTCGCCCAGGGGGATGACATTCTGCAGGCTGCGCAGAGCACCCGGCATCAGCACCCGTGCCCAGCCTCAACGGGACAGACCCTGCAGGGATGGCCGGGGAAGGGGTGCAGGCGGGTGGTGGGCTGCACCCCGGGATGGCCGGCGTGGGCACGGGCACAGCAGCCTCACCTGGATTTGGCAATGAGGGTTTTGATCCTTTCCACCTTCTTCTGCTTCTCCTTCATCTCCTCGGGGCTGAGTGGCGTATCGGGCTCCAGTTCGATATACCGCTCAGGGATGAGGACTTTGTCCGGCGTGGAGAGCTGGGCACAGTGGCAAGTGCTGAGCTGAGCATCAGCGCCGGGGACCTGTCCAGCACCCACCTGCCCCACTCATCCCCAGCTCCCAGCACCCGCCTGGGCAAGGGCAGCCCCTGACTGGGCATAACCAGTGTCTCCAGGATCCTGACTGATGCAGGAGGATGGATTGACCCCCCCCACCCCGGTGCAGGGTGCGGAGATAAGGATGCCCCGTGCCCAGGCTGCCAGCTCCCCCAGGATAGCCCGTCCTCACCTCCTTGTTGATGTCCACGTCGTAGTGCTGCGGCTCCAGCTCCATCTTGCGCAGCCGGGCAATCTCCTCCTGGGGCGTCTCGTAGACCTTGCCGGGGTCATCGGAGCGCAGCGCTGCCTCCAGGTCGGAGATGTCCACCTCATGGATGCTGCGGTGCCGGCGCACCTGCGAGGGACCCCAGCTCTGCTGAGCCCCCCCGGGATGGCACACTGTCCCCTTCCACAGCCCCCAGTGTCCCTTCTGCTCCATCAGGGACTTCAGGCACTCTGCAAAGCCAAGGCCGGTTTGCCCCAGCCCCACAGCTGGTGCAGGGACTCACCACCTTGTAGGAGGTGGGTGCCTTCGTGCCGGGGGTGTCGGGCTGCTGGCTGCTGGGGAGCTGCAGGCTGCGCCGCTTCTCCTTCATCGAGCCACTCTGGTGGCGCTTCATGCGGTCGATCTGCTCCTCCACACTCATCTTCACCTTCGTCTCATTGGCGAACACGGCACTCTTTGGTCTCTCCTGGGGAGAGCCCAGCCCCAGGGTCACGCACCCCTGCCTGCAGCAGGGTCCAGCCCTGTCTGCCCGTAGCTGCATCCCTCTGCAACAGGCTGTTGTGTTCAGCCTGTTCCCGGGGTGCGGGAAAGGTACCGAAATAGCCCAAGGGGTCCCGAGGAGCTGGATGCTAAGATGTGGAGCCATGCAGCAATGGGCTCCCCTACATGCTGCCCCAGCCCTGCAGGCTGCAATACAGCTCCCCCACTTTGCTAGCCCAGCCCCACCACCCCAGCCCCAAAACACGAGCCCTACCCGGGAGCTGAGCCCGTTGGCCATGCCGCCGGCGCTCCTCCTTGGCACGCCGACCGTGGGCACCACCTCCTCCTCCGCCGGAGACTTGGTCCTGGGGGGGACGATGCCCACTGCGGAGCAAACCGAAACACCAGGCTGAACCCCCCCTGGGGAATAAGGGCAGGGTCCCAGCAAGATGCTGGGTGCCCCTGGCTGGCACAGGGTGCCCGCTGGAGTGGGACCTGCCGGCCCCAGTGCCGTACCCTTGTTGAGAGCTGCTTGCTTTTCTGCCTCTGGCTCCTGCCGGCTCTGCAGGAGCCCCTCAGCTGGGGGCCCGGGGGCGGCCGGTCGCTGCACCTCTTTTTTGCTCTGCTCGAAGCTCGGCTTGGGCTGTGGGGGAAAGCAGGTCCCCGGTGAGACCCCGACCTGCCTGGGGGTCATGCTCTGCCTGGGGACAGACCCGCTGCTCTCTGCAGCCCGTGGGGTGACATACAGCCTCTGGACACACTCCCGGGAGCGGACGGACACACAGACACTAGCCAGACGGTACCAGCGCACCCCAAACATGCGGGGAGAGGGGCTGGCAGAGCTCCGCAGCTCTTGCCCCAGCCCATCGGGTTTGGGCACTGATTGCTGTCCCCATAGCACAGGCTCCTGCATGGGAAAAGCTTCCTGCAGGGGTGACAATCCTGTCACCGCTCGGAGGTGGCACCCGGGAGCCCCAGGATGCCAGGGCAGACACTGTGCAGCAGCAGAGAGCGAGCAAAGGGCCATTTTCGGGGTCCTGCCCTTCCTGCACCCACTGGGCACAGCCTGCCCAGGGCCCGGGCACCGCTGCAATGGTGTTGGTACAATGGAGGGGTACGGCAATAAGCTGAGGAGCCCAACGTGCCCCCCCTCAACTGCTCTGTGCTCTTCATGGAGATCGTGCATCCCAACACCTCTTACACCCTGTGGATCAGGACTGTGCTACCCTGCAGCCGCACGGCTGCTGGAGATGCCACTTGCGCTCACGCTGGGGTCCGTAACCCTTCCCGACCCAGCACGGCCACTGCTTTGCTGGGCCAGGCCCCACGTGCACGCATCCTGACCCTCAGGCTGCGAGGACGCTTGTGTCTCCTGGTGTCCAAACCTGGCCCCTTCCCCCAGCGGGAGCACGGCCAAGGCATTACCAGGAATTCCCAAATCTGGGTTTTCCCTGGGTGGGCAGGAGTTGGGGGGGGGGTCACCCCCATCGGCAGAGCTTGCCAGTACTGCACGGTGGGGAGCGGTGCCACGGAAGGACAGCGAGAGAGGCGAGGGCAGAGCGAAGCAGAGGGGCTGATACCGGGGGCTGCAGCAGCTTCGGGGGCTGCAGCAATTTCGGGGGCTGCCGAGGAGGAGCCAGTCCCTGTCCTGAGCGAGCACAGTGGGTGCTATGCGTGGGTGCAGGGGACCTGGAGGGGACAGGAGGGCCACGGTGAGGCTGCTGTGGGGACATTGCCCATTGCTGCCCTCGGAGAGGGCAGGTAGCAGCCACGTGCTGCTGTCCCCTAGCCAAGTGCCACCTCCACGCAGAGGGTGGGCAGAGGGTGGGCAGCCCCATCGCCTGCCTCGTCCCAGCCCCTGCCAGCTTGATGTCTCAGGGAGGAAGAGGATGGGGCCGCTGCTGCAGGGCTGCTCTGGAGAGGTTTCGGTACCTGTCCCCTCTTCGCCTCGCCGCCTTGCTGCCAGGAAGGGGAGGTGGGGTACGGCCAGAGGCGGCTCTCACCGGGGAGCGGAGGAACGGTCGGAGGAGACTCCAGGGGTACGTAGGACTTGGGGAGGGGAGGTCGAGGCGGGCCTGGTTCCTGGGGTGGAGAGGAGCATGAGGCGTGAGAGCAGAGACACTGAGAGCCAGGAAGGAAGACAGAGTTAGAAAAAGATCGAGACAACACACAGTGGAAGAGTCGAGCCAAGGAAGGGAGGAAGGAGAGCAGCCGGCCGCCGCTCCCCGGGGTTCCGTAGTCTCCGTGTCCCCGTGCGGAGGGGGACAGTGCTTCCCACCTCTCATGCTGCCCTCGCTGCTGCACGTCCCCAGGGCAGCGAGGTCAGGCAGGATTCGGGGGCTGCCCAAGTGAGCGGCTCCCGAGCTTGGGGCTGGCAGCCCCCAGGAGACATTGGCATCACCTCTGCACAGCCAGGTGGGGTTGGGGAGCCCCCAGACTTCACCCTAAACTTCACGTGGATGAAGGGGAGACCAGCACTGCTGGACCGCGAGCAAGGGCAGCGAGAGGGGACTGTGGTGGCAGCAGGAGCTGGTCCTGAAGCCAAAGGCTGGAGCTGAGCAATTCTCAGCCTTCAGGGCTGCTTGATGCAGGAGCCCAAAGGCTGCAAAGCCCAGCTGCAGGCCCTGCAAGGACGATGGACCCAGATGCCACCGGGGCATACCACAGCCCACGCACGTGGCCAAAATGGTGCCCCCAGGCAGAGCCACAGGGAAATGCAGCCGTGCTCTGTGCCTGGTGCCCACCCGTCCCCCGAGAGCAAGGGCTCGGGTCAGCCTGCAAGCCAGGCTGGTGACCCGATGGTGGCAAAGGACTCCCTAGGGACACCTGGGCTCACTCACCTCGCTGGGTCCCGGCTTGGTGGGGGAGCCCTGGGAGCCGGAGACGAGGGAGAAGGGGCTGAGGGGGCTGGTGAGGCTGGCCGAGCTCAGGGGGCTGGCGGGGCTGTTGGAGCTGTACGTCCCCGACGGGCCAATGGCCACTGTGGAGAAAAGCAGAAATAAGTGCGTGCACCGGGGCCTCCATCTCCCTGAGCGGGTGCTGCCGTCTGCGTCGTGGCACTGGGGATGCCCCAAGCCGCGGCACACCGGGGTTTGTGCTGTGCAAGGGCAGGGACGGACCCTGCTCACCTCTGTGCTTGGCAGTGTCCGTGCCACGGGACGGGTTGTTCTTCCTCAGCCCCTCCATCACGTCCTGGATCCGCCAGATCTCCTTCTGGATCTGGCGGTTGAGCATTTCGTTCTGGAGGGGAGAAAAGGCAGCTGTCAGAGCGGCTCCCACTGCTGTCAGCCCTGCTGCACCCCGGCCCCGAGCCGAGCCGTGGGACCTGTGGGCATTGAGCCGAGGCAGACACGGCCCGGGGGGGTCTGAGCCATCACATCCATGACTTGTCTCCTGCCAGGAGCCATCATTCTGCTCCCCCGGGCACCCGTCATGGGCTGGGGGGAGCTGACGGAGCCCCAGCAGCACGGGGAGCACTGGGCTGCAGCTCTCGATGGCATCCAGGTGCCCACCGTTCCCCAGTCCCTCTGCCCTTGCATGGAGGGCTGAGCGTGGAGCAGCCACTTGCAAACTGGCTCCTTGCGGGGAACAGAGGGCTGAAGGAACCAGGGGGTTTCCACCTCCACGGGGTTAGCGGGGGGACCCCAGGGATGGCGGGGGGACCCTGGGGCTGGTGGGATTCCACTCACCTGGATATCCAGGTTCAGCTGCTCCCAGAGATCGTCGTGCAGGGCGGACACCTCGCTCTCCAGGGTCTCGTACTCGGCAGTGCTATTTGCCAAGGCCTGGGAAGGGGAAAGGTGGGTGGGTTAGGGGGTCTTTGGCAGGTTTCTCCCCCGGCTGGCAGCAGCCCTGGCCAGCACAGCGTGGGAGCACCGGGAAAGCACGAGGATGCTGCACCCAACACAACCCCCCCGAGCTGGGGAAGGGGTGGCAGCAGGGGGGTACAAGCTCTGCTGTGCCCCAGCCAGGCTGTGCCCATGGGAATTCCTGGTGCCGACGGCATGCCGGGCACAGCAGTGCCGGGGAGCCAGAGGCAGAAGCAGGAGCTAAGACAGCTCTGGGCACGTGTGCCAGCTCAGCACCACGAGGGTTAATTTGCTTTGTCCCCACTGAGGGACTTTGGCTTGTCTGGATCCCCAGCCAGCCGGAGGGATTTCCCTTCTTGTTTTTTTTTTAACAGGAAGGGAGAAAAGAGATCTCGGCAGGTGGGGGAGACAGTCCCACAGCCAGGGACCAAAGCGGAGGGGGAGCCTGTTACCGTGCTGGCCTGTGACAGCTCCACGCGGATATTGATGAGCTGGTTTTGGAGTGATTCCTTCTTGTGCAGCAGCTTCTCCGGGTACGCAGGCTGGCTTCCGAACATCTCCAGCTCCTGGTGCGTCCCCATCAGCGCGCTCTCCAGGCTCTCCTGGGGGGCACGGGAGGGAAATGCAGCCGTGAGAGCCTGGCTGGTGCAGGAGGTACAGTCCCTCTCCTTAACAGGCCATTAACACACGGGCAGTCCTGGGACTGTGGCATGGCCAGGGCATCTCCCCCAGCCAGAAACGCCCCCGCTGAGCTGTCCCCGAAAGAGCAGGACATGTCACTTCGTCACCATGAAGGTGCTGCCTGGGCATGGCCATCGTCGTGCAGCCACGTTCATCTGCTGGAGCTTCCCACCACGTACCTTCTCCGCTCGGAGCTGCTGCACCAGCCTCTCCTGCTCCCGCAGCACTTTGTTCTGCTCACAGAGCTTCCCAAGCAGCTTCTGTCCCCGGGAGGGAAAGAAAAAGGGAGGATGGGATGAGAGCCCAGCGACGGGGTGTGTGGGGTGCACCCATGCAAACAACTCCTTGCTCAGCTGGGAGAGATGGGGATGCAGCCGGGACACCCATGGGGTTGGTTTGATGGGACAACGTGTGGTCCTGGGGAGGGTTTCCAGCCCGCTGCTCTCATTGCAGGGCCTTCAGCCCTGACCAGGGTGACATGGGCCAAATCTGGACATGGGGCAAGACCAAGCAGCTAAGCTCAGCGGAGGATTTAGTCCCCGAGCAGCACACACCACACTTGGGACAGCACCAGGTCCCACCCCAGCTGCGCAGGAGCCCTCAGCACAGCTCTCCCTATGGGGACAAGCAGACCTGCTGCGGGGGACAGGGACAAAAGCACAGGGCAGAGAGGGGACATGCAGGACAGACGTTTGCTCTTACATCGGTGTCTTGCTCGCTTATCTTGTAGGCGTGCAGCGTCTCCCTGTAGGCCTCCGGGAAGGGTGTCACCTGCAAGCAGAGCGTGGGGTGAGCCCGGCTCCGGGAGCCCCTGGGGAAGGTGAGGCAGCTCCCAGCCCCTCTCCCCCATCCCCGTGAGCAGGGAAAGAGAGGTGAGAGACGAATCTCCGGAGGCGGCGAGCGCTCCCCGCAACCGGCACAGCCGGGCAGATGCCGGCATCGGTCGGGAGGCAGCGGGTGCCGCAGGCAGCGCGGGATGTCGGTGCTGGAGCTCTCGTCCTGGCCCTGCCCGGTGGCTCGGATGAACGCGCAACCTCCCTCCCTGCTCCCAGCCCCGGTGCCCATCGGCTGGGTCAGCCACGGGAATTAGCTGGAGACAACCCCTCCACGGGACGCCAAGAGCTGAGTTAAAGAGATGCCTCGTGAATCATTAACCGCCTGGTGTATAACTGCCACCATTTCATAGGCAGGGAAACAAAGGCAGAAAGATTAAGCTGTAATCCCACTTAGCAGAGTGGAAGCACCTATAAATCAGCAGCTGTATCAGGGTCTGTTTACCATCCGGCTTCTCTGTGAGTCATCTTCCTTTCCTGGAAATCTAAATTACTAATGGGACCTCAACAATTCAATGCCTCCAAGATCTTGAGATGAAAGGCATAAGATAGGAAGAAGGGGATCATTATTGCTAGAAAGCAAGACGCTACTTTAGAACCATTTAAAACTATAGCACAATGCAAATAGACCTGAACCTGGGAAATGCCCAGCGCAGCCGCAGGCAGAGAGCCTGGCCGATGGGGATGCTGCTGCCTCCGGGCAGGGAGCCCAGCCAGCGAGAGCATCTCAGCAGCTCCAGCTTCGCCCTCTAGCATGTCCCTGCTCCCCACACACAGCAGATGGAAACAGGCACCTTCCCCTCATCAGAAAACCCCAGCGATCGCCCGGCCGCTGCACGCTCGCACAGCCAGGAGATGCCCTGGGCAGCACGGCGGGGGGCCACGACCCCTCTGCCCGGGGCTCGCAGAATGATGGGCTGTGGGGTTGCAGTGACCCGGAGACACGTTCCCAGGTGATGGGACCTGCCTGCACTTGGAGGTGCAGCCCAACATCAGCAGGGACATCCCCATGCTTTTGCAGCCCTCTCAGGGCTGGGGAGGAGAATGAGGCAGAGCCTCTGGGGGTAAAAGGCTGTTTCCTCTCCTTGTCACAGGAGTCGTTGCTTTGGTTTAAGAGCCTCGGGCTGGATTCCTGTCTTTAAGTCATCTCACACCTTCTCCTTGCCTCATCAACACAGGACGCAAACAGAGGATGAGCAAAGCACCCGAGTCCAGCCCAAACAAGGATGAGAGTTCAGGACTGCCGCGTCCCCACCTTGCGCTCTCGGCACAAGGATTTACTGAGTTTTAATGGCTCATGGATGGATTAGCAAAGCCTGGGATGGACTAGCAGGTCCCCGAGAGCGTGATGTGCCGGAGCCGCATGGATGCTGGAGTCTGCATGAGTGGAAATGGCAGGAGGTGACCTCAGGGATGGAGCGCGGGACGGCTGGCGTGGCTGCCATGCACAAGCCATGCACGGCCCCGCGGCCGGAGGCTTACTTGCATGTAGAGCTGAGCCCTAGGGGAGGAGGTCTCCACCATCCTGTTCACCATACTGATCAGGGTTTCGCTCTCGCTCATCTGCGGCAGACAGGGAAGGAAAATTCAGAGGTCAGCAGAGATGTGCTCATGTGCTGCGGTGCTCGGGTGCCGTTGGAGCAGCGAGGCGGCTCAGTCCAGGAGCCCTCAGGGCATCGGGCTGCAAGATGCCACCTCCAAGAGATGTCCCAGCAGGTCAAGCCATGTGGGGACGGCTGCCCTGGGCTGTTGCTGCTCCGTTTTGTGCACTCAAGAGCATCCTGGGCCGGCTGCATGCCCTGAAAACTTTGTTGAGGGGAAAACACAGATAAAACTCAGCCAGCTCCGAGCTGGGCAGCAGCAAACTGCACACACAGACACAAGCTTGCACAGAGACGCCCACGGCTGCAGCGCACAGTGTGGTCCCAGCAGACAGACAGACGGGCCCTGCTCCTTGCGCTGACAAACGGCTCGGTGCCCTGCCCTCGTGCCAGAGCCGGGGCTGGGGTGACCCCGATCAAGGCGCAGACAAGCTCTGGGCATAGAAGGTGACAGCAGCGTGTCCCCTCTCCAGTCCAGCAGCCTCGAGCAGCGGAGCCGGCTGGGAACAGGGTGCTCCTGTGGAGGTGGCACATTATGGCCACGCTGCCAGGCAGGACAAGGACGCTACGGTGTTCAACATGGCTGTACCTCCCCAGAGCCGCAGCCTGTGCTGAGCCTTCCAGCGAAGCGGGACAGACCCCAACCCCGGGGGGGACCATTCATACCCCTGCAAAACCCCAGAGGGTTTTGCTGCTCTGGGTGCACTGCTGCCGGGGCGTGCAGCCAGCAGTGGCCTCAGGGTCCCTCGGTACCGCATGGTGGGGTCACTCAAATCGGCAGCACCGGAGCTTCCCCGCTGCCTTTGCCTGCGGAATCACTGCAGGAACCCGCAGCCCAGAGCGAACGATGCAGGGGAAGCCCCCTCGCACCCCACGGCCAGGACCCTTGAGGTCCAAGGGGTGACCGCGGTTTAAGCACAAACTAGGGACCAAACCCTGACTGGGGACAGGTCAGCGAGGTGCGGTGCAGCCGAGGAGCCATCCCTGCGACTGGACAAGCAAGGAGCGAGAAAATAAAGCAGCAAGCTGTTTGAAAAGAGCTACTTGACAGCGTCACTCCGAATTAGTCTCTCCAGAGGTCAGCAGGAGAGGAGGAGGAGATGCAAAGCCCTTTTAGGGAGTGTTTTAAAGAGCCTCGGATAGCAAGCATTGCTGCCGATGGCTGTGAAATAATCCAGAGAGCTTTTATTGCAGCGAGTGCTCCTGCCTGTCCTTGGCTCTGCTCCAAGGCAGACACAGATCTTGGCGATTACTGCACCGATGGAGATTTGCAGACTAATGAGATTGTCTCTGGAGCAGCTCCCTTAGTGCAAGCCTGGCTTTTGCAGGCAAGCGCCAGGGCTGCAGCACTGGCCGACAGCTCCTGTCCCCAGCTTCGACTTCAGCCGGTGCCTGCGGTTCCTACCCCACCAGTCCCAGGGGTCTCTCCCAGCCAGATTCCCCCCGCCCTGCTCCTGGGATGAAGTCAGTTCACAGCTTTCCTCCAAACACCCCCTGGCATGCAAAAAAACTGAGAGCTGCTGCTTTGGTATCAGTCCTGGTGGGCACCTCAGGCCCACCCTGCATCAAACAGGGCCAGCGCGTCACCGAAACCACCTCATACCCGTCCGGCTCCCCACGGCTCACCCGGCCACCCCCCGTGTGGGGGGCACCAGCCCTGGGACCCCCGCAGCAGCCCAGATGCCAGAGGCACCGCTGGGTGTGAGGACGCTCCATCCAGCACGGCCACGCTGGCACCATGCACCGGTGACCCGCTTGCCAGCACGGTGCAGACCAACCTGGGGAGGGTTTCAGAGCCGGCTGCCCCCCCTGCACTCCAGGGGCAGCTCTCCGAGGCCCCAGGCATGTGGGGAGCTGCCCCGGCTCCCCCCAAAATCCCCCCCACCGGCTCCAGCACACCACACAGAACGCACTGTCAGGGGGATTTTTTCTGCGAAGCAATGAGCAACCCTACAGACGGGAAGGATGGAAGAAGCAAACCAACGACAACTCGTGCTGCTTTAATGCCAAGAAGGGTGAAGATGGATGTTAGGGGAAGAGATGCTGTGCTGGGAGGGTAGGGAACGCCGCTGGGGACAGGGCACATGGGGGCGTAAGCAGCGTGAGGCTTGCAGCCAGCTCTGCCTACCTGCTGGTCCAAATACTCTAGGTTTCTTTGCAACTGAAGGTCTAAAAGTTCATCCTACCAGGAGCCAGCAGGCATGCGGCAAGAAACGAACATACAAAACATATAAAAGAAGAAGCAAAGCGGTTAGGTGAAGGCTACGGAAATGCAAAGACCTCTCGGCCAAGGAAGCGAGGCACCTCCTTGGCACAGAGCCGGGAGAGCTGCCATGGATGTGCCCTGCGGGAGACCCGCTCTCCTCCCGGCTCTCCCTCCCGGCTAACGGTGCCTCGGAAGAGGCACGGCCCTTCCCTTGCTTCTCCAGCTAGCGAGGATGGATGGCAGCATGGGTGGCTTATGGTAACTCGTGCTTCTCCCTCCTCCAACGGCCGGTCCTGCCACGCAGTTTGGGGACCGTGCTCTGCGGGGGGACCTCCTGGTCTCACCCCGCCGGCTCCAACCCCCCAGTGCTCTGAGGGGAAACACGACGCAGAAAAAAGCAGCAGCTGTAGCCAGAAGTGAGGAAGCAAGGGGGGGAGAGGTGCAGGGTGCGCGCCAGCCTCAGCCAGGGACCACCCTGGGGGTGACAAGCCTGGGCCAGCATCGCAGGGCGTACGGGGGTCCCAGGGTATCCCACTGTCCCTGCAACCTGGGGGCTGCAGGGCAGGAACCGGGGGCCTTTCCACAAGGGTTTCCTTTCGGCACAGCTGGGAGCCACCAGAGACACCAGTTAAAGGACCTGCAGTCCTGACCTGCCCCAGAGCAGCCCAGCTCAGACCCACAAAGCTGCCCCTGGAGCGGAACCGTTCTTCCTTGGCTGTCCGAGCAAGGAGCCCCCGAGCTGGCCCACCTTCCCCGGGGGCTCTGTGCACCCCAGTCTGCCGGGGCTCTCCCCCCCGGTGCCAGCAGCGTACATACGTACCATTTTGTCATGGACAGTGGGGGATGCCGGGTAGTGGTACGGATACATTCCCGCAGGCATGGGCCGTCTATCACCCAGATAGTCGTACTGAGAAGAGAGGAGACCCCCCACCCCAAAACCAGAGACACGTGAGAGGTGTGCGAGAGGACAGAAAGCACAGGCAAGGGCAGACCCCGGCCCCGCAGCAGGGTCAGGCCCCGCTTTGGGGCACACAGCGGCAAGACAAGGACACCGGTGCTCCCTGTTCGGGAACACATCACTCGTGGTGGCCCTGGACACCCCATCCCCATCTCATCTCCTCCTGCCCCATCTCTCTGGGCTCGCAGCAGAACAACTGCAACCTGGGCAGCTTTGCCATATGGCAAGGGGGGACCTAAAGCCACCAGCTGCTGCAAGCCATGGACTTGGTGGCATTTTGAGGCCAGGCTGCGCATGCAGAAGGGACGAGCTGTGCTGCAGCACCCCTGCCCTGACGTCCCCGGCGAGGGTCTCCCTCCAACCCCATCCACCCCGAGTGCTGACGGGCATTTACCTTTGGAGAACTGATGGACCGCCTCATCATGAAGGTGGTAGGGTCGGCGTAAATCTCTTCTCCCCGGGGCGGCAGCCGCTCGAAGCGGGCGCTGGGCGAGCGGACCGGGGAGTATACCCGTGCCCGGCTGTAGGAGCCCTGGCTGGGCGAGCGGGGCACGGAGCGGGAGCGGGGCTGCAGCGACATCCGTCGCAGAGAGCCTGAGGCTGCATCCACCTCGTCTAAGTAGGTCGGCTGCCTCCCGGGACCAGGCAGCCAGAGCGGGACATCTTGCCGGCCAAAACCGGGGTGCTCCTTCCAGTCGCGGAGCTGGTAGGTGCCCCCGTTGCGGAAAGAGTGCCGCTTGTCCTCCAGCGCCCAGGGTGGGCTCACCCGCTCGTAGGCGGGCATGGAGCAGATGCTGTCGGGGCGCACCCCCGGTGGGTAGTACTGGTAATCCTCGGGGTACTGCGGCGAGTAGGGGGAATAGTAGTCGGGCACCCGGCGAGACACGGGGTAAAACCTGGTGGGGCTGGAGGGGGGGGAAGAGAGCCGTGAGAGCCAGGCTGGTGGCCAAGGGGGTGACTGGCCCCTTGCTCCACATCTGGGGGTCCCAGTGGGCAAGGACAGCCTTAGAGCAGGCAGCTCCGACACCAGCGCCTGGAAAGCTGGCTGGCTGGCATCCCACCTCCCAGGGATCCTGTGGTGGCCTCCCATCCAAAACCCACCCTGCTCGGCTTTTTGGGGTGTCCCACACACAGCTCAGAGCTGGCACGTGGGAACAGCCCAGAGAGGAGATTTTCTGACCCCAGGAGGGGAGAAAGTAGACGGGAAGAGGAAAAACATTCCCAGAGGATCACCTGAGGGGCAGCACCTGGAGAAAAGGAGCAGGACCCCCCTCTGTCCCCAGCCAGCCCCCCACAGCCCTCACCTGCGCAGCTCCTCGGGGGGCACGGCCCCCCGGCGCGAGTTCACCCACTGCTGCAGCTGCGTCATCGAGCTCTTGCGCTGGGCGATCTTCTCGGGGTTGGTGCGGGGGGCGAAGCCCCGGCGGTGGGCCACGCTCTCCCCATCGGGTGGGGGGTACGCGGTGCTGCCGGGGCGGCTGGGCGATGAGTACGGCCAGCCGTTGGGCTGCGGCGGCCGCTCCACGCTCGCCGGTACCCGGGGTGCCTCGGGGTAAGGACTGCTGGGCTCCGAGGGCATCTCCTGCGCAGCGATGCCATTGGCTTTGGCCAAGGGCTCCTTCTTGCTCTCCATCCTCTCCGATTTCCTTTCGATCTTCTCTGAGCCACGGCCATCACCTTCCCCCCGGGTCTTGGCATCGGGGTCAGCTCTGGGGTGCTCGCGGTGAGTGGCGTTGCAGTGATGTTGGTGGTGTTTGCTGGGGGGGATGTTTTCGGAGTCTGGCTTCTCATGCCTGGGGGGTGCCGAGACAGGAGAGAGGGTTACCTTCCCTTTGCAATGACCCTGGGGTGGCCGATAACGTCCTGTCCCTCCCTCAGCCTTGGGGGGGGCCAATTCTCCCCCAGCTCTGTTCTGCAGAGGGACCCTCATGCTCCCAGAAGGTCCCCGGCCACGATTCACAGCTCCTCCACCCCATCTCCAAGAGACCAGGGGAGAGGGATGGCATGGGGAGACGGCAGGCGCTGACCTCTGGGTTGGGGGGATCTGCACCCGGGCGGCTTCGCCCATGGCTTGGATCCAGGACTCCTGCTCCTCCGTGTTCTCAGCGCTGAAGAAGTAGGTCCGAATGCCAGCGTGCTCGGCCTGGGGAGACAGGGACTGCTTGTTACTCGCCGGCATCTCCTCCACCCAGCACACCGTCACCTGCAGGGAGGCAGAGAAGTGGGGAGAGAGACAGACAGGAGGGTGAGAGCTCCATTTCCACCCCGACACGAGGTCCTGCTGCTGCAGGAGAAGCCAGGCACGGCCATTCCCCCCCTGCCTGAGCCTCCCAGCCACGTGCATCCTCGGTGGCACCAAGGGGGAGGAAGGCTCTGCAGGCAGAACCAGCGCCAGCCCTCATCCCCTCGCAGGGGATCCCCCGGGGCCACGAGTCCCCCGTGGTCACCCCCGGGGATGCTCAGGACCGGCCTTCCCCAGGGCCCCGCAGCAGAGGAGCAGCACCCCGGGGCAGAGGTTGCAGCACCCCAGCATCGAGCTAGTCCCCACAGGGTGCACAGGGCTGGCAAAGGGTCCACATCCCAGCGAGAGCGGCAGAGCTGGATGGAGCGTTATCATTCATGCAGGGTTAGGGGGAAGGTGGCTTCTTGGCCCAGACAACATTTTTGGGGGGAAAGAGGTTTGCTTTTGGTCCAAGATGTCGGTGCCCACTCTCCACCTGGAAGGTGCCAGAAGGCACGTCTGGCTATTTAGGGCCTTTTCGAAGCTTCCACCTTCCCCCTCTGTGGAAAGGGACGGGAGGCAGTGAGGAGGAAGAAAAGGGAGAAAGCAGGAGGTTTTCCCCCGGAAAGACTTTCAGGGCCCAATCCCTTAAAAAATAATAAAAAAAAAATAAATAAAAATTGGGGGTCCAATTAAAACCCTCCCTTGGGTTTCCATCTTCCCCTTCCCCAGAGCATGCAGCCACCATGCCCAGGCGCAGGGTCACCTCCTGCAACCCCCATGCACTCCTGCCCCTAAAAGCTCTACACCCAGAGCAAAACATCAAACCAAACTGATCCATCCCCTGGATTAGTGCGAGCGGGGTGAGCGGAGCATGCCGGCAAGCCTGCGGGTCCCTCACCCTCCTGCATGCATCAGAAACACAAGAAGGTACTACCTAGGTGGTGGCTGGGTGCTGGTGTGGTGAACGGGCACGAAGAGACCTCCTGTCCGGGGATCCTCGCCCGCGGAGAGAGGAGGAAACACAGACATGGGGTCAAGCCACAGCACGGCAGGAGCGCGGGCGCTGCGGCACAGACCTCTCCTGGCCGTCGGGACCCTCTCTACCCTTCTCTGAACAAAACCATCCCCCAAAACCCTCGCGGTGCAGATGGAAAGGCAGGCGCGCACCTGCAGAGCTCGGTTCGTGGGCAGCAGCTTTGCAAGGCTCTTTCCGCACCAGTGTCATAAACCAAGAGAGACATTTTGACACCTCCAGGTCACTTCTTTGCTCTCACCTGCCGAAGCCGCAGGCAGAGACACCTCGCCGGCTGCCAGCATCGGCAAGGGCACACGGGAGAGCCCACGTGCAGCTCCTGGCTGCCGCTCGCCAACGCTCGCCGCTAAACCACGCTCAGCCGCAGCTTAAAGGCAGGCTTAAGGGTGGCAGCTACAAAAATCCATCCCTTAGATTGGAAAAACTCCTCCACAGGCACCAGCTCCTGCCACGCTCACGGGCGGGAAGGTGCATGCTGGGTTTTTGCACAAGTGTACCCAAGTGTAAGCCAGCCTGTGCATCGATCCACCAACAAGCGAGTGCTAACATGACCCGCGACCGTGGGCAGCACGAGCAGTTGTGAGGGTGAGGGCGCACGGTGATGTTGAAGGTGCACGGTGATGTTGAAGGTGCACGGTGGCGGTGCCAGTGAAGCTCAGACCCAGCTCTGAGGAGCGAGGGAGAGCCAAGATCTGCCGCTGGGTGCGGGAGAGCCCCAGCTGCAGCAGCCGCCCTCCGCCTCTCCCTGCTCTCCTCTCCAACACCCACGGCAGCGCAGGCTGACGAGCAGCGACTCATTACGTGCTACCCCCTTGTAATTACATTTGCCTTTCCTTCGCACACCACTCAAAGGAAGCTAAAAAAAAAATATATAAAATTGGAGCTGGGGACACCTCTCTACGTCTGGCTCCGAGAGTGCTGCCGAGAAGCGCCGCAGCAGCCGGTAGGGACAGGCTGGTAGGGAGCAGCGATGCGAAGGGGAAAGCGGGGCAGGGAGAGAGCCGAGAGCACTGCCGGCGAGGGCGGCGTTTCTGCTTGCCCTGCACCCAGCACCTCCCCGGGTTGGGGGGCACTGCTCAGGAGCAGCTCAGGCCTGGGGAGGGGGTGATGACCTTGGAGAAGCCGCTTTGCCCCGCGTGTGCCTCAGTTTCCCCAGCAGAAGGCACGTCTGCACAGGGCGCAGGGTTTCCCCGGGGGGGGGTTTACTGCTGTCACCCCTCTCCCCAGCTTGCTCCGCGTCCCGTCACCGAGAAAGCAAGAAGAGGGAGCAGCGGGGACCCTGCGAGCATCACCGCCGCCCCAGTGCTCCGTCTTTTCCAAGCCCCGGCACAACCACGCACTGACCTTGAACGTGTGCTTCCTGCTGATGTTGTCGGAGGGCTGCACGGCCGCCACGCGGAAGCTGAGGAGGGGGATGCTGCCCAGGATGCTCTCCTCCTTCTCGTCTGGTGGGCAAATGCAGTGGTTACGCGTACGGAGAGGCTTGGAGCCCCAGTTCCCCCCCGGCAGAGACCCACGAGCTGCTGTGGGGACACGAGCCCATCGCTCCCTTCCCGTGGGTGAGCAGGCGGGCAGGCCACCTGTGGGAAACCGCTGCCTGCCTGTTGCTCCCCCGGCAGCTCTTCGTGGCTCTGCTGGGCTCGCACAACAGCCTGCTCAATTATTCATGCCCGCCCTTGGCTGCCGCTGCCAGGGCTGAGCCCAGCGAGCTGCCAGGGAGGCTGGGGAAGGCGCCTGCATTAACCCCTCGGGTCCCTGGTGGGCCAAACACCCGCACAAAGGGGTGCTGTGCACGGCCACCGCTGCCCAGCGGGCTGTCACCTCCGGACCCCCTTTGCCCACGCTGGCAAAATCTGCTCCGAGCCTGCTAACAGCCCAGGTTTGCATGGAGGCACCCAGCTGGTGGCCACTGGGTCCTACTGGGGGGGGGGGCACGAGGTGCGAGGGGCAGCCGGAGCGGGCACGCATTGCCGTACCTTTGTAGTAGAAGAGGCAGCGATCCACCAGCACGAACCAGCGCTTGTTCCACTGCTTCACCCCTGAGCTGGCCTGCGAGAGAGGGGCAGTGAGAGCAGCACCCACCCGGGGTCAGGGGTGCTGCCGCAGGTGGGTGGGAAGGGGACGGCACGGCTCCGGGGGGGGACACCCGGCATGGTGGGGCTCAGGTACCTGCTTGTAGAGCCAGCCGCTTTTGGTCACGGCGGCATTGGGGTTCCTCTTCATGGAATTGGAGCGCTTCCCGAAGGCAATGCCCTTACGGGAGGAGCGCGAAGCCTGCAGAGGGGGAGAGGAGCCGCTCAGTCCCCGGGGGGGCCCCCGACACCCCGTCTCCGCTGCCGCCTGCCGTGCCGAACGGCTCCGGGCACCCACCCGGCCTCCGGGGCGCTCTGGGGGCACCTCCGACACCATGGCGTGGTTGGAGGGCTCGCTGGTGATGGTCGCCGGTCGCTTGCCACCCGCTTTGCTTGACATGTCCAAGGTCGGTCTGCGGCACAGGAGGGCTGAGTCAGCAGAGTTACATTTCTCCAGCCCACGGGAGCCGATCCCTGGCATCCCCACCCTGGGCACTGGCCCCCCATACCCCAGACCACCTTGGTCCCCCATCAAAACCCACTCCCAGGCCCTGAAACCGGGGGAGTCGGGAGCCAACCTACTTTTGCAAGTCAAGTCTTGAGTTGTCCTCGGGGACCTGTCCCGTCACTGGGTGCAGGAACGTGTTCCGCCTTTCATTGTGGCTGTAAGAGACAGCGGCGGGGCGGTGGTTAGCATCTCCCATCCCCGTCCCCCCCCCAGAAACCCTTGGCCTTTAGCACCACGTTTGTTGCTCCGACCCCAGCACTTCGTTGTCCCATACCGGTGCTGGGGCTGGCTCCCTGAGCATCGCCTTCCCCTACGCCCCCGCTAACCCCATGCTTCAGATCCGCTCGGCACATTTCATCGGCGTTTCCCAGAAAGAGCTTGCCTCGCTGAGAGCCGAAACGAGGTCTCTGGTGGCCAAGCCCTCGTTACTTCTGCTGGACATATCCCAGACGTTACCATAAACCCCACTCGGAAGAAGTCTCTGCAGAAGCAGCAGCAATGGCCCATCCTGGGCTGTGCCTGCAGCGACGTCCCCAACGTCACATCCTCCCCTTCGGCTTTACTGCTTTTAGAGCCATTTGACAAAACACCTCGAGTCAGGCTAAGAGCAGGGTCACCTGGCCACGCAGGGCTGTGCATCCCAAACATCAGCCCAGGACCCACCAGCACAAGCTGGTGCAGCTGGATCAGGCCCGGTGACGCTGGGGTGCAGCCAAAGGCGGCCACCACCGGCGGTTCAGGACTCACTGGCAGCACCAGGAGGAGCGAAGCAGGGCTTGGCTGGCAGCATTTGCCGTGTCCCTGCCCCTGCCCCATCCCGCAGAGCCGGTATTGCCGGGCACCCCAGCACCTCACTGCTCCGGCTGGGGAACCTGCTCACACGCTGCTTCCCGGGGGCCCTCGCTGCTGGAGCTGTGGCAGGAGGAAAGGACGAGGTGCACCCACAGGTCCAGGGCTCCATCCCCAGAAGTTTGCATTGGACCCCATCCCCACGATATCCCTTCTTCCTGAAGCTGCCAGGCACCGGGATACGGGTGCTCCCGGCCACCCGTGAAGCCGACACACCAACAGCCGCGGCACGCTGCTGAACCTCCGCACGTCAGCAAAACAGGGGAAGTTTGAGCAAGAAAATGCAGCTGCCAAGACCATCCCATCCACACACACTTCACCCCGAACCTGGGCTCCAGCCAGGCTCTGAAGATATTAACCGCTTTCTACCCAAAAAAAGCCCTGCCAAGAGCTGCTCCCCCTTGCAAGTCCCATCCTGCACCCTGCCACAGATCTGCTCTCCTCCCCAGCCCTCCCCTCGCTCGGGGTCACCTTAAAAACCTGGGCAACGCGTACGCACCCCACAACGAGGGGCAGTGCTCGCTCCCCAAACCCCCCCCAGCACCGCGCTTTTCTGTGCCATGACCGACACAAGTTATCTGTGGAGACAGCCTGCCCGGCCCACGCTCTGACAGCAGCAAAGGGGGTTTCTGCCACCCGGGGCTGGAGCCGCTCCTGGACCGTTTGCCCCCGGCAGGTGACTTTGGAGGGAAGTAACGTGGGGGTCCGGGGCAGGTCCCAGGCCCCCCATGACGCTGACCCACAGGGAGGGTGCAAATGCCAAGCGAGCAACACCCCGACTGCACCAGCCCTGGAAAGCGGGGGTCTGCTGGGACCCGCCAGCCTGCCTGAACCCCAGCCGGGGGTGTCCCCCCAGCCGGTGATGTCCCCCCAACCCTGCCCACGACCCCGCACCGCGGCAGGTTTCTGTTCCCGCAGGCTGGACTCTCCCCCCGCCCTGCCGCCAAGCCCAGGACACCCACCCTGCTTTGCAGCCCCCCCAGCTTCTCCTGGCACCCACCCCGGTGCCTCCCCCCACCCCAAGTCTGCCGCCACCCCTAGATGCGCCAAGACCCTGGGAACAGCCGGGAAACCTCCTTTAAACCACCCCTCGGCAGCAGCTCCATCGGCTGACCCCGCTCCAGAAACTCCCGAGTTCACATCGCCTCCCAAGCACTGCAATGCAGCAGCCACTGCCCGGGCTGAGGGTCCCCCACCACCATCTGCCCGCCGTCGTCCCCCCCCCAGCCCCCACCAGCCCACCCCAGGGTCCTACCTCACCCGCCGATCCGCCCGAAACTTCAGCATGATGCCGGGGGCCCTCCCAGTTCAGCGCCGGCTCCCGGCTCCCACCATAGCAGCGGTGGGCACGGCCAGCCCCGTGCCGCCTGCCGCCACGCTACGAGGCGACGGCACGTGCCACGGGGGCAGCAACCCCACGCGGGCAGGGGGACGCCAGCAGCGGCCGAAGGGTCTCACTGTCCTCTCCCAGGTGTCCCAGTCCCCCGAATCCCGCGCCGGTGGCATCGGCGTTCCCGGGAGCAGCGGTGGCGGAGCTCTCCGTGGGCTCCGGTGCAGCCGGGCTTGGCGAGCCCCCGGTGTGCGACAGCCAGCCGGCGAGCGACGGGGACAAACAGCTCCCGCTCGCGTCCCCGCGCAGAGGAGAGGCGAAGGGCAGCGCTGCACACACCGCCTCCCCCAGCCCAGGTGCAGAGCTGGGGAGCAGCTGGCGGCAGGCGAAGGGCGAGAAAGGCAGGATTTTGGGGGCTGCCGGACCCCCCTCCCCTCCCCAATCCGGCAGGGCAGCGGTGTGCGGGGGGCTGCTGCTCGGGAAGGGAGGGGGGGTGTCGCGGCGAGGAAGGCAGCAGCACTGAGATGAGCTCTGCCGCTGCCCTGGATTCACCGGCTGCATCCCTTCCCCCTGCTTCTGTCCCCAAACCATCCCAGTTCCCCCCCCTGCCGCCATCCCTTCCCCAGGTCACACCAAGAGAAAATCCTGGGGAGCAGGACAGGCACGTGCACCGATCACCGAACAAGCCAGTAGCTGCAGAGGGGGGACGGGACCCTGCAGAGCATCCAGCAACGGGGCTTCAGCACCCCCAAAAGTCCAGGGAGCCCTTCACACCCCAGCAGGTTAAGAGTGGGGAGCCCTGGGAGCAGGATTCGGGGTGACCCACCCTCCGCCTGGGCACGGCACTTCGGAAAGCGAATGCAAATACATCAGGACTGTTATGATAATGCCTTGGGAGGGAGGGAAGGCAGCGCTGACATTTCAAAGAAACCTCCAAAGAAGGAAACAGAGCACAGAAAGCCAGCTGGCCTCCATCACGCTGCATCCCCGCTCTGCCAGCGCCCTGGGACCACCTCAGGACACGGCCCGCCTGCCTGCAGTGCCGCTCAGGCCGGCCTCTCCCAGCCATTGCATCATTCACCTGCTCTTTCCAAAAACCGGTGCCCTGAAGTTACGGCTATGCCAGTCGGTCAGCCTGCGGCAAGCGGGGTCAGCGCCAGTGCCCGGCTCAGGGATGCTCCTGTGGCACAAGTGGTCCCTGCCAGGAGGGTGGTGGGGAGCAGAGAGGGACGGGAACCACGTCCCCAGCACGGACAGAGGATGTGCCAAGGCAGCGGCATTACTGCTCCCAAACACCTAAATCCACCCCTTTAGGGCACCCTGAGCCGGAGCTGCTCTCTGGGCATGGAGGAGCTGAGCGGTGCCGCCGCCGCTCTCCTCGCTGGCACGCTGCCGGCCACCAGCCGCGGGGCGAGACACACGCGCACGGAGAAACCTGCCCACCGCAACACCCGCCGGCAGCACCAGCTTCGTGCCGGCGTCCGCACCTCTGGCAAACCCACCGGCGCTGGCTGTCCCCACGTCCCCGCAGCAGCAACTCACCCGCTCCTCGGTCACCACCACCCTCCGCAGCGAAGAAGCCGGGGGTCAAGGTCCCCCAACGGCCCGCGGGTGCGTGCCAGCCCTCCGCCATGCGACAAAGCCGATGCTCACCCGGTGGCGTGGCCGCCGTGGAGGAAGGGGAGCCCGTCAGCCGAAGCTGTGGCCCCTTTTGGGGACAGCAGCCCCGGGGGGCAGCGTGGCAGGAGTGGGAAAGGCAGCTCTGGGAGGCGCAGGTAGCAGCCACAGCAGCTGCGCTGGAGGCACCGTCCCCCCCAGTGGCAGGGTTTCGCCCCCTGTCACCCCAGTTCAATGGCACGGGGGACTGTGCTGGGCTCAGGGGCCACTCTGGGAGCCTCTAACCCGGGATCAACCCTGGCTTTGCCAGCCCAGAGCAGGCGCCATTCTCCCTGCACCAGCTGGGCTATTTCACAGTCATTAGTATCTGGGGGTGGGCAGGGACACGGCATCCTCCACAGCCGATCAAGCAGACAGGCTTCAGGGCTCCAAACAGCAGCTCAGGGGTGGGGGGGGTCTCCCGGACCTCCCAGGAGAGCCGTGGGGGAGAAGAGCCAGTGCTTTTCCTCAGGGTAACCATCAAAGAAAAACCCTCTTAAACCCCCTCTTGCTTCTTCATAAAGGTAAGGAGCAAGAGAAAGGAATAAACGCAATAACCGAAGAACAAAACTTTCACTCAATGCAGCTTTTCTTCCCCCTCCCCAAAGCTGAAGTTTGTCGAGAGCAGGAGGACAACCTTCCTGGCTCCCCCCTGCCCTTCCACAGCTCATGAAGGTCACAGGTCTCCAGCTCTCTCAAACCAGGGCTGGGGCACATCCCTGAGCAAAGCCCGAGGACCCCCCCCGGGTCACCGGCACACTGCGTGGGTGCCCACATCGCCCTGCGGCGTGAGAAAGAGCAGCACTGGGTGTAATCCAGCCATACCAGAGCAGCAGCAGGCAGGAGGGTAGGAGGATGGGCTGCTTTATAGCAGCTCTCAGCTGCGGCTGAGGGTGCGAGAGAGTTAACGTCACCCCAGCTGGGAAGGAGCAGGTGAAATAGTGACAGGAGGGAGCAATTTCCCTGCGACCAGCTCCCGCCCGGGGCTCGCTGCATCCAGGGTGCCTGCAGCCGGCTCTGGGGGAGCGGGTGCGGGAGCAGCGAGCCCCCAACGTGCCTCGCCGTGGCGCAAAGCACCGGTGGGCGATGCCAGCTGTGCTTCTGCTGGGCAGGATTCCTGGCCGGCTGCCTCGGGACCCCTCCTTGTGAGGAAGGTGGGATGCACCAAGCAGGGCTGGAAAAAGCCCACTGCGGGCTGGTGCAGGATGCAGGAGGGGGTCCTCTCCAAGAGCATATGGTGAATCCAGCTCCGCCGGCTGGACGCAGCCAAGCAGCCCCCCAAAACCTCCCAGCGTGCAGCAGACATCAGCTAATGGGAAC